AATATATTAACAATGAAAGAGATTTTTCTCACAAGTTAGTATATCTCTTAAAGTGTTGTTCTTTCAGTGTATACTTCATTGAAAACAACATGCTTGTATGAGTTAAATTAGGTCACTTAAATACAAGAAAAAAAGAAATATTCTTTCATTTATAACAAATCGCCTAGCAGACAATTTAAGATGTCAAAAATAAACTGTTGTGAGAGGAGGTGAAAAAAAAAGAGCTTTTGTCTGTTAGATACTTATATATAGTAGTTGAATGTAGCCAACTTTATATACTGAACTGAGTCCTATAGTAATAAGATATTGATTGTTGCTTAATCATAAGTAAAGCTTTCCGCTTCTCTATTGTAATTTGATGTTTGAGAGGCACAGTAAGAAACAGAAACTTTTAAATCTCTAATTGTCTCTTTTTGAATTAAATAATTCGTATTATCCACAGGTTTCACATTTGCAATTTCTAAGAAAAAAAGATCTGTACAAAGATTCTATTTTTAGATAGTTGTTGTTGTTTCATTGTTTCCAAAACAGAATTTTGTATGTTTCGCGATCATAATCGCTCATCTTCAACATAAAAAAGTCGAACATATAGGAGCCGGATATTCAAAAGGAAACATATTCTCCAAAACATTATGTTTTTTCTTTTTTCTCTGTATATGTGCTGATTTGTGTGAATAGTGTGAAACATGCTCAAACCAAAGGGAAAATAGGAAGTTGGCTTGGTAAGAATCCATTTGACTTTAGAAATAGCATAGTAAATCAAGCTTGTTTGAAAGTAATAAACATCTATGATCATGTCCATTATGCAGATGTATGCGCTTAAGTGCACTGTAAAAAGAATGTGTCCTATTCACATTGTGTCATGTCAAAGGACACATTTGAAATGACGCGTTAGGAATGTACATGGATACATCAGTAAATATCTTGTAAGACTGAGCATGGGATATGTCCTAAAATGTGTCCTGTATATCAATACATTCTAATATATCTTGACATATTTGCGTGACAGGTTGAATTTATCCTGATCTGTTTTCATCCATCTATTAGTTTTTCAATAGAACCAATCATAAACTCAAAATTTTGCTTTGAATACAAACTTTTTTTACATAATTCATTGAGGTTCAAAACTGAATGGTTCAATTTCCTTGCAAGAGAAATATGTTCGACGACTGAGTTGCTAGAATTTAAGCAGTTTATACGGATCCTTGAAAGAAACTGTATGCGATGCTTGAAATGTTTTATCCCTCTGTGCGCTACTTTCTGAGTTAATTCGATGATACGTACTAATTTACTTCCATTTTCTCATAAATCAGCTAAAATAAACCGGATACATGCTGAGCACATTCGATGTGCACCATATGTCGATTCGTCACATAAAATTGTAGTATATGAGGGTACATTCTTTAACAATCTTGGTATTAAAACTTTTTTGGGTGGACATGGGTGATGGGTACGAACAACACCTAATAATGTACGAAGTATCATTTCTTTTTATCTCTGCCCGCAGAGGAAATTTTGTTTCTAATCAAACAATGTGAGAGTTAAAAGTTTCGTATTTTCTAAAACGAGATGCAGATTCGTCCTAACTAACTGTGTAAGATCAAACAACGTCAGAGGTGACATCCAAAGTGATGAGTTTTTGGTAATATATATTAATTAAGAAGTATATCTTTTGAGATGTAACCAAACATTTGTATATTATTGTAGAAGACACATTAAACATCTTTATGATCGTATTGCTGGAAAAGTATATTTTTGAATGCTGTGTTAAACAATGTGAGCGATTGAGACCGTATAGAATAGCCAAAAAATTTTTAAATACACTGAATAGTACGCTTTGGAATCATCGAATTGAGTAAAAAGAGTGCGTATAAAATTTCTTTAGTATTCGTCTTCGAATTTGTGAATGAACTTAGTGAGTATTTTTTTCTTTTTCTCAAACGACTTTAACGTGAGACGACCATAACAGGATCTTTACTGTATAATGTCAGGTGAATATTCATTATATTTATTCAATATTATACTGTTAAAGCAAAATACAACGTTTAGATAGCAATGATCACAAGATTAAAGTTGTATTTATTTTTACTAACAGAACGAATGTCAGACTAACGCGAAGATAAATATGTTTACTAGTCTTCAACGTTAATTATTTCAAGATATGCTGTTATCTATCAATAAAATGGTTAATCCGTCACAAAGGTTTGAATGTCTAGTAGTACGTACAAATGTTTGCACATTTTGAAAATTTTACAAGATTTAAGTATACAAAAGAACTACATGTTGTACACGAGAGATACGATTTATATAACATTTAATATTACATATTAATGACCACCGTATCTTGAATTTCATAAGAACAATATAGAATTTTGTTTGTGTGTTTTTACATAGTAGATTTTTCTCCGATAGAGTAATTCTGTGTGTCAATTGTACCGTTTTATTCTCTAATGTTTCTGTCAATTACTGTCCAAAAAATCGTGACATATATTTCGATTACTCATATATCGATATATGATGATTTGATCGAGATACAAAATTCATAATATTGAATATTTTCACAGTTTTATTCACTCTATTTTTTCGTCTTTCTCATTGCAACGTTTGCGAGTATGTATTGTAAGACTTCTAAATCGTTTTATATAGTTTAGTTTTCTTTAAAAATAAATTCAATCGATATTAACGAATGAACGATGTGTAAAATTTGCTCGAAAACAATATGGTTGGTTAGAAGAGCAAGAAAATAAAAGAGGAGTAGGAATGATCTTCACTTTATAGTTGCGTATAATTCTCTATAAAGATTTCATTTCGTACTTTGTTATATATAAAATTGATCTTCTTTTTTTTCTGATGATTAGAAGTTTGTTTTATCACATTTACATGTGTCATTCAGCGGTTTATCTATATAGAAAGAGGAAAGAACAAGGGTATACACACACACATTATCTACTTTTTTTCTAGACAAAAAAAGGAAGATTTTGGCAAAAAATATCCCATAAAGAACGAGAAAAAAAAAACACAGAACAATAAATGAACGTCTATATAGATGCATGCTCCAGAGGTTTTGATCGAGAAAAAAAGAAAGTTTAAGATAAGCTCAACATTTGTCCTCATAGCTCCATGTCTGCTTTTTTTATTACTCTTCCTCCTCCATTATAAGGTGACTATATACACATAACGTTAAAATGAAAAAAATTGTATTGAACGCTTTTACCTAGAACAACAGAGTCGATGTTTTAGAGTAAAATGAAATGCAAAAATAATTAAAGCTGCCATTTTCAAAGAATGTTTGTATAGATAATATTTGAAAGCAACTGATTTTATTTTTCTATTTTTAATTGGAATTAGATCTAGAAAATATTTCGCACGCGCTAATATTTACTTGTTATTTTTCCTTGCTGTGTATTCTTATCACTCGTTATTGGATAGGATTTTTAGACATTTCAAGCAGCATTCAGTTACACAATCGATATCTAACATTGAAACTTCAACTGTAGTTAACCGTAACATGCTTAGGAAGAAGTTTGCAAAAATTTGGAGTAGGAAAGTTTTCATTAAACAATTGTAAAATTTTAGCCTAAATCAATAACTGTATAAAAGAGAAATTTGTCTTATTTATATCTTAATCGGGGAAATAGATTAAGAGCTCATATTTACAAATATTTCATATATTAATACTATTATTGTCAAAATTCGACTTTTCTTCAGAAAAAATTTCGATGTCATTGTAATACTATCATATCGCTGACACATGTGTGACAGTCGTTATTGGACATACTCTTGCATAAACGATCTCGACTACTTATACTACAAATTTCATTTTTATTCAGGCTGCTTTTGGAAAACTCCTTCTTGGGTATATTACCGCTAACTACAATGGATATTTTAGCCCTGAACTCCGATATCGATTGAAAATCATTCGCTATCATTTTTTCTTAAGCCTTAACGTGCGATTACAAATTTTTGTATCTAGTTCAATCAACTGAACTGCGGACAATCTTCATCTATTATGAGCAGTGAAAAAGTGGTTCTTCTCTAAAGACAACAACTAGTATATAGTGGAAATATTATTAACCGAGAATAAGTCTTTCCATGTCATTCTATGTAGTTGTGTCTCTTTTTTTTCTTTCCGCTCTTGATCTTTTTCAAATCTAATATTCGCACACCTGAATAGAGAGACTGGTTTTTTAATTGTTTGTACCCTAACTCACGTATATACACATATTGAAAAATCTATTAAACACAGAGGAAAACGTAATAGAATGATGATGATAATGTTAACAGTAACGCATACACATACAGAAAAAATAACACAAGAGGAAAACGATCAGTGTGTTATGTTCTGCTGTTTTGCTAAACTTCTCTTGTTTTGTACACGAACATAGGACATATGTCTGGCATAGATAAAATTTGCCATTTATCAAGGATCGATATTTATTAAAAACCAGAAAAAAAATAACCTTCAATAACAATCATACTGTACTAAATGACTATATAGTCTAATATTTTGTACCACATGACTTCCTAAATTTTTTTAGTAAAATCTCCATTCAAGATTTTGATTAAAACACCCAAAAATTCAAGAAATTCAAAGACGCTATAATATCAGTTACACGAAGTTTCGCCAGGAAATTTATCTTTTATTTACTAATTGATGCTGATAGTCTTTTACAGCATTCACAGAACGGAATTTAATATCAAGAAAAATATAAAACTAATAATTCGATCGGTTTCAAATAACGAATTTTACTGAAAAGTAATTCGTTTTGAAGCTGTACGATCACACATGGAAGTGTTAAAAGGCGCCAAAGGGTTCTTTTACGATTTAGATAATCCTTCTGTCTATCTCAGTAATCGTAAAGCATCATTGCATAACTTTTTTATATCGTTTTTAGAAATTCATCACATATTGATCGTAACTAAATGTCAATATTTATATAAAACAACAGAACTGAAATGACGTTAGAGTTAAAGTGTTGAATGTTGTTTACTATTACGCTATGTCTATTGATAATGAAACGTATGGTACAAATAATCGAAAATTACTCATTATATTAAAACCAGATGATAATAATTTGATAACTGCCGATTATAAACGTTATAAACAATTGAAAACATTCAAATATCAAGATGCTCGTTATTTAACTAGAACAACAATAAAACAACAACAACAATTTGTTTTTATTCTTAATTATTATCCGTCCATTACAAGAAAACTACCAAAACAAAAATGTATGCATTATATTCAAAGGGTATTCTATTATTTATTGACGCTATTATTATTAAGTAATAATATTCAATGGCCTATTGTATTTTTATCTCTATCATCAATTAAATTCATGTCTACGTATGCTATTGTAACTACCACAACTACAACAACACTAAAACGAACAACAACAATCAATGACCAATGTCTTCCACTTGATAATAGAAATATTCAAAGTCTCTGTTCAAGAACGTGTACGACATCAACCTCACCACTATCTTATCTTCTTCAAGAAGATAATGATGTTGAAGATAATACTAAAATGTTGTTATCGAATTATTATTTACCATTTTGTAAAAATTATACGTTAATACAAATGTTAGATGAAAAAGAATCGATTTCAATACTGAATACATCAAAAAGCAACGAAAAACAATGTAAATCGATAATAGAAAAAATAATTAAACTTGATAATGAAGCAAAAGAAGCAACAGATACTTTCAACAGTTACATGAAAGCAATTGATTGTGATTCTAATGATAATAGATTTTCAATTAATGCTGACTGTGATAATTGTAAAGTAAGCATTTAGAGTTACAACATATAATGTTGTTCATTATTTAGAAAACTATAGGCACTTTTTTTCTTTTTTTAGCAAGCTTACGAACAATGGGCTTGCTCGATATCTATTCCATTTTTTTATCGTGGAAATCGTATACTGCCTTGTCAAAAGATCTGTGATGAAGTTGAAAGAGTTTGTCCAACATTTCGGCCATCCGACCGAGAGCCTCTTTTTGCTGGTCAACCGATATTTGTATGCAGTGGTGAGTATGTATGTTCCTTTTGTATAGTGCTTTCTTTCGTTATTCGTTTTCGTTCTTTACTTTTAGGCGGATTGATCCCTAATAATGACTATGGTCAAATACCTTATTGTTATGATACGTGTCATTTAGTTGGCTCACAAAAAAGTCATTCCTCCTCACAATCATCATCGTCTTCATCATCAAACGATTCAACATCGTCTACTTCATCACTATCGACTAGTAGTACTTGTTTCGAAATTAAGCTAACTGATCAACAGTTGACTAATATCACAGCCACCACACAATCTCAATTTTATTCTTTATTAAATAATGAAACGAATATATTTTCCAATTATTCATCGTCGGCATCGTCATACCGTTTAATAAATAATATTCACAACACGTTGTTATATTTTGTTATTACTATTATGTTATTATTGTCTATTATTTCCAAATGAAATAGTCTTAATAAATGCAATATGGATGGATGGATAAAGAAAATTTATGTGTGCGTTTTCTTTTTTTTCTTCTTCTTCTGTTGCTGTCTTACACACACATTCAATAGAAAAATCTTCTACTCGTTCAAGAAATGTATTTTCTATACAAGAGAGTATTTTTTTGTTGTTCAATGAGAAAATATAAATTGCACTTTTCTGTCTCTGAATATGTCCTTTACTTTGTATTGTATACAATCGAGCTGGTACTTGATTTTTTTTCATCTCTATGTATCTTTCTTTGTCTTTCTAAGTCTATGTCTTTATTGATATTTGAGAAATGATTTTTACAGAAAAAAAGACTAAATTCAAAGTATAGCTTTAGGATTGAAAGTATGCATATAATCCAGGAATCGACAAGTACTATCGTCCATACAAGTTCATAAGCCAGCATATATTGTGCTTTCGCTTTGAAAAGACTTTTTAATCTAAATTTCTCATCTCGTCTGCTTGTCCACTCATACATACCTACTCGTTAACTACAAAAGCGTTGATTATGGCTAATCCTTATGAGCGTTACCAAATCAAATGTATTCCAGTTCAAAAAAAATTTCCTGAAAAAACTGAAAAAATTTGTCAAAATGCGAAAGCCACATTTTTTTAATATACGTTGTGTTAACGGAGATTTAATTCCAATTCTTCCGAAAACAATTCTGTAGCTTCGTCTCTTTTATCATAACAATCAGTATTATTAACTCATTTTGAAAGAAAGTGTTTAAAAAAATCAGAGTATTTACTATCAAAAACTAGAAAAAAGTCTGAATTCCAATTCTCGGAATCAAATCCTAGAGTCTAAATGAAGTACGTAGAACAGTTTAACTTATTCAACAATAATTTATGCTTTCTAACAAAACAATGAAAAAAAGTTTCAGAATCCGAAGCAATGTTTTTAATGATTAGTGGGCCTCGCTTGAGCAAAATGGGTTTCCACTTTGAAAATTCGATTTCCACTTTGTTTTTAGCAGGGAAAACATGGAAAATGCGGTGGTAAACTGTGGAAACCCACTTTGCTTAAAATTCCTATTAAAAACACTGATCCGAAGAGTTGGCGATCCTAAACCTTCTACCTATCTTGTCGATTCTTACATTCATATCAATTTTAATTAAAATCTTAAAAATAAAAAGCGTTATGGTTAGTACAATAACTTTTCATCTTCTTGCACGTTAATATTGATCTGAAAATCAGAAATAGATCCGTTTCCTTTAAGACATTAGTAGAATACAACGAGAAATACTCGCTGTCAAGAGCCATCTACGAACTTACTTATAGGCATGGACAAAAAAGAAACCAACCAACGGGTCGTTGTCTGCTTTTAGCCACAAATAACTGCCACTAATAGTGGCTAAAAGCAGGATTTGCGGTTGTCCCTTTTTTTACTGAGAACTGATTTTACTGAACTTTTCTGATTGGGTGATAGAAAAATTTACGCTCTGGTGACTCAGAAACCCAGTTCAGTTCAGTTCAGTTTCTCAGTAAAAATAAAGGAACAACCGGATTTGCAAAAATTTTTGCCACAGATAAGAAAATGTGTGCGGTTCTTACTTTCCCATTGGTGAATACCAAACAAAAGGGAAAGAAGTAAAAACGATGTCGCAGAAGTATGTTTCTTGCTCATATCAGAGATCCAAGAAAAAATGTGAGAAACTAATCGAATTTTATATAGTTAGATTCAGATTTTTATGTAGATCATGAATATAAAATTTATTTTGAATAACAAGGCTATGGTGAATAAAAAATCAAGTTTTTTTATGTTTACCTTTCTGAACTATATGTAAAAAAGACATTTTTTCTTTTCTTTTGCTATGTCAGGTGCTTGTTTTACGCACGATTTATTCAATCTTTCAAATATTCACAGATCGGCACAACACAGCCACCAAAACGTATGCTCAAAATATTTGTATATACTCAGAATTTTGAGCTCTATCCGAATCTCAATCCTTCAGGAGGCGGAAACGTATGCTCGGGGAGATATACATGTTTTAAGGAAATGTTGACAAAAATTAAAATCTATTTTTTAACTTAACGATAAAATATTAGAGTTTCGTTCAAAGTTCATTCGATAGAGCACATGAAACTCTCTATATTCACAAAATTCCGAGCTTTCGAGTAATCCCCTTCATGATATTTTTGTTGCTTTAATGAATTTTTGCAAAAAACTCATTTTTTTCAGTTATTTCAAGTAAAAAAAGATCTCGGACCATTTTCGTCGGTCTGAAAATTTGCAGTGGAATAAAATTTATAACTTTAGAATGTTTTGTCTTTCTGAAGAAATTACTTTCTAGAAAAAAGACGATGAAATCGATCATTAAGGAACTGTGATAGCTTAGAGTTGTATCTAAGAACTGCTATTATACGCTTTATAGTTAACTAACTTCTGACTACTGTAAAACCTCTATTAGTGAACACCGCTAATTTCAACGGGCATATTTCCATTCAATATACCGGGATGACTTGTTCATTAGAGATAGTTAATTAGCTTTTTTGCCATTAAATTCATCGTGCTTTCTTCTACTAGGAAATATAAAAACACCTGATAGTTTATGAAGAAATTTATCAAGAATAAAGGTGAAATACCGACGTTAAATTTTCGTGAATTAAGAACATTCACTCTACAATTTGACAGAGTAGTTTGTCAGATTTAATTGTAGATGTCATTTTTTTAACGTTTCTTATTAGAAAAAAGTCTTGCGAATCTTACAATTTCAATAGAATTATTTAATTTCGTGGAAAAATGACGTATGAACAGTAGATTGAGTGTAATCTTTATCTCTATTACAACGAAAAATTCTTTTATTGTAAGATTCGCAAGACTTTTCTAATGGAAAATATTAAAAGAAATGACTTCTATAGGAAAGAAATGTATCAAAGAACGAAACCGTTTCTGTTCGTACGTAAGGATAATTGTTGTATATATATATATATACTTATATACTTAAAGTATATAAGTCAAAAGACATGTTCACATCAGAAGGAGAAAGAAAAACTATATTTTTCTTTTTCAGTGAACTGTATAAAAGTGATAAGTTACAAAAACTTGATTAAGTTGAATTAAATGATAACTTCAGAATAAGTACACAGTAATTGAAAGAGAGAATTGAGAAGCGTAAATAAGATTGTTATATGTACTTATTTTAAACTTAACCTTAAACTGACCTTGAGATGAATTGCTTCGTGTTCCCGCGGAGAAAATCGGGTAAAACACGCTGAAATTTTGCCTAGCCCAAGAAACGCTACTAGGAGAGCGAATTTTCGTTCCTCTCCAACACTTGTTCGTTTTGGTGATGTTGGACTAAATAGTTTAGTAAAATAGTTTCTATTGTCTTAAATCTTGGTTTATTTGCTTGGTAGAAAAAAGTCTCAAGCGTTTGTGGAAGTGAAGATTTTGCTAGTCCAAGAAAAAAACTGTCTGATGTTCTTCTGTTGTTCTTCTGATTTCGAAAAAAATTTCCTGATCAACTCCTGATTTCGAAAAATTGGATTTGGGCACCCTGTTCAGTTCTCTTAAATCTTGATTTATAAGTCTGAATTATTTTCAAACTGAAAAAAGGCTTTTCTTATATAGCTCTGTAAAGCAAGCTGTTGATTAATATTTAAATTCAAGCTTCAAAATTTTTGATTCATCGAAGAATTAAATTTTAGTTTTTTTCAAATTCGAATATTTTCTGTAAAAGATATTTTAACGAATATAAATGAAAGAGAACACTTTTCATAATGACGCGTGGCATAGTGGTTATAAAGACAGCGAAAAAAAGGTACTACATAGACAGGGATTGAACCTGAGGTTACTCGATCTCGGGTTTAATTCCTGTCTGCGTAGTTCCTTTTTCTCAATTATTTTTGAGATTCCTCTGTCAAGACTGGACTCAACAGGAATTATATCGGGTCAATTTATAATTGTAATTTATATAAAAATTCAGCTGTTTCAGGTAATTATTTATATGCATATGAGCAAAGAACTCAAAAGACTCACGTTAGTAGACAGACTTTAGTTTTTCATAAATCAGTAACCCTGAAATAATCGTAAAAGCAAGATATGTTGAGTATATATGACAAATAGCTAAGTTCTAAAACAAGAGAAACACTATGTCACTCAAATGCGGAAAACGAATGCTATAAACTAGCGACCTTTGTCAATTTCTTCTTTTCTCTATTCTGCATGAACGAACCAGAAAATAGCAGTCCATATTTTCTTTTGATAGAACGAAAAGACTCTGCGCGATGACTCCAGAAGAGACTTCTAACGTATAGTACATACGTCATTTCTTTTGTGAAATATGTTTTTTCCAGTTTTACTGAGAACTGAACACTGAAATTCACATTTAAAGTAGGTGTACAGACGAGGAGTCTTTATTAATATTTAAAAACAAAATTTGTCATAATATTCTTGAGGTCTCTAACATGGTACTGTTGGTTGATCGATAATCAGTCTAATTTATAATTTTATTTTTTCTCACCTCTCTAAACACTTTTTTTGTAAACAAACAGTTCGGCTTTCGTCCTAAACATTCTACTCTGGATGCTTTGTTGTTTTTATCTTCAATCGTCTTTAACTTTTGGAATGCTGGTGTAAAGTGTGTTGGTGTATCTTTTGATTTTTCTAAAGCATTTGACTCTGTTCTTCATTCTCTCTTGTTAGAAAAACTTTCTCATTGTGGTGTGTGTGTGATTCTTTGTTGTCTCTTCTATCTTCTTATCTTTCGAACCGTTCTCAGTGTGTGCGTGTGAATGATTCTGTCTCTTCTTCTTCTCTAGTTCCTTCTGGTGTTCCTCAAGGCAGTGTGCTTGGGCCTCTTTTATTTCTTATTTTTATTAACGATCTACCTCTGTCGCTTCCACCTAATTGTGAAATCTGTCTATTTGCTGAGGATGTTTTTTTGATTGTTCCGCTTTCCTCTACTGATTCTTCTAATTTTTCTCATGTTCAAAACTGTATAAATTCTGTTTCTCACTGGTCTTCTTCTAATCTCATGTCTTCAAACGTGTCTAAATGTTGTTGGCTCCCTTTCTCATTCAATCTCTTTATAATCAGTTGTATCTCAATGGTGCTCCTCTCTCTGTTGTGTCTTCTGTTCGTTGTCTTGGTGTTCTTGTTTCGCACGATCTTAGGTGGAATTATCATACCAAGGACATTGCTCTTGCTTGTCGGCGCAAGCTTGGAGCATTGAATCGTGTCTTTGGATTAGCTCCAACTGAAGTTCGGCGTCGAATCTGTCTTTCTTTTATTCTTCCTAAAGTTGACTATTGCTGTGCCTTGTATGATAGTTCGTTTTCTCTTACTGTTCTTGATTCTGTAAACAAACTTGCTTCGCGTGTTATTTCTCGCAATTTTGACTATCGTTCTTCTAGTTCTCTACTTGTATCTCAACTTTCTTCCAAATCTCTCTTCGTTGTAAATACTTTAGACTTCTACAGTTTTTCAAAATTTATCATCGTCTAAGTCATGTTTCTCTTTTTTATACTATTCATCGTCCTCACTACTCATCTTTACGTCTTCATCATTCTAAATATGTTCGCATCCCATCTTCTGTTGATGGTTATTCTTCGCAAACGGTGCATTCTTCTTTTTTTTATTCAACTATTGCTGACTGGAATAATCTCCCAGAGCCAGTTATTTGTCTTTCTTCTTTAACGTCGTTCAAAACAGCTTTATGTCAGTATCTCTTCCAGTGAAACATTTGTCAGTTAAGAATTTATATTTGTTCTTTTTTGCTTAATACTTCTTTTTATTTTTTTCAAAAATTTGTGCTTTTTTTACTACTTCTAGTTCTAACCTTAGTTGTCTTATTTATTTTGTTCTTTTTTATTACTCGTTTTGTGTTGTTTGGCTTGAGTCATTTATTACGGGTCAGTGACCTTTGATGACTCTCTCACTTTTCATGAATAAAAACAGTCTTAGTCTCTTAGTCTTATCATTTCGGAAAATTGTATTAGTAGTTATTTAGTTCAAGGCAGCGTTTTTGATAGAGTGTTGGCGAAGAGAAAGAGTAAAGTTGAGAGAAGAACTAAGTTGTTGCCGTTCGTCAAGATATATTTTTAGTGAGTAAGTCGTTCCGTTTTTGTGACATATAGTTTTGAGCTTTTCATCAATTGTACTGAATAACTACAACAAACTACGAATGTTTATTTGTGATTCACTAACTTAGATCAATCACTCTTACGTAATCAAAATTTCTCAAATTCCTTTCTAATAATAAATTGAAAACTGTTTTAATCAATCATTTATTTCCATAGCATTAATTCAGTTAAAAACTTAATATGTCATGTACATAATATATGTCCGCATCACTAAATAATTCAAAAGCTTTTTTTTAGAAGACTTCGAAATCGCTGTTTACAGATTATCATGAAAAAGGGATTTTTGACGTCGTGAATTTATAGAATGAGTTATTCATACTGATACCAGAAGTATCAACGCACGCTTTTTCTCGATACACGTAATGATTAATACAGTAAGCAAAATTATACAGCATATATTTGTTTTATGCTAGATATACTGATTAGTGTTTTTTAACGAAAACTTTTACCATAGTGGGTTTTTTCACCGTTAAAAACAGTGGGTATTTCGTACTCAGTGTGAAAATTATGTTTAATTTCAGTTTTACATGATAGATTACAATGGGAAATTTGCTTGTCCATCGTGATATTAAAAACGCTGATTCCAATTAAGAATGTTTGATAAATAATTTATTATTTAAATGAACTGAATTTTATTTTTAGATTATGCATTAGAATCTCGTTGAAATAATTAATTAATTTGAAAATCATGGCAGCAAATTTAATAACACTAAATGAAAATAATCAACAACAGCATGAAGTGTTACAAAAAGCACAGTTGGGCGATATGATACAATTTCAAAGAAAACATTATTCTCATTGGTCTATCTACGTTGGTGATCATAAAGTGATTCATCGATGGGGTGATGATGATGGTATTGGAAACTCTCAAGGCTTTCGTAATTTATTTACGTTTTCTGGTGTGAATTTCAATAAAGCTCGTATTGAAATAACAGATTTTATGGAAGTATTAAAAGATGGAACGGCAAAAATCAATAATTATCTTGATCATAAATATAAGTAAGAAAGTGAAAATTATTATCAGTTCAAAACATTATAATATTTTACAATTGTTTTTTAGACCGTTACCAACTAAGGCAATTATTGATCGAGCTAGAAGAGCTCTACGATCAGAAGGTTATAATCTTATATACGATAATTGTGAACATTTTGCGACGGATTGTCGCTATGGACAACCTAATAGTCGACAAGTACAAGTAGCTGTAAGTTTTGGCGCAGCTGCTGCAGCACTTCTTACTGGTACTGCACTGGCAGTTGGAATGTACTTAGGAACAAAAAATAATGAATCAGATGAGGAAAAGAATGAGAAACAAATGAAGTTATTGAAAACATAATAATCTCGTTTGTTTTGTTTCCTACTTCTTATAATTTATTTGTTATATAAATGGATATTTTCGTGAAATGTTTTGTTTCTGTATACAATTTTGAGCTTATTTTATTCCATGGCGTGTGTACATTAAACTTATTTTTATACATTAATTTATTTTGAACACTATTTATGATAAATTTTATTTTATATCGAGAAATATTTACACTATTTTCACTTTCTTTTCCAACGACAGTTACATATTTTTTCGCTTCGAAATAGAATCGTTCATTTCAATGTTCTTTTTTCTATTTTTACACAGAATTCATGATACTAAACAGTGTTCTCTTTAGTTCTACGAAATTAATGATCGTATTTTGTATATCTGACTCGATGATGTTTCTCTATTTTAAGATTTTATGTAGCTATTTTCGTATAAACAAAATTTATTGTTCAAAGTTAATGTTTACAACGATAATTTGAAACGAAAACGTTAACATTTCAGTTTATTTTCTTTGACTACTATTATTACTGGTATGACGTCACTTGAATTATTCGATAAACAAAATAGAATACAACGTCGACCAGAATTGGGAGATATGATTGAATTTAACCGAAAACGTTATTGTCATTGGGGAATATATGTTGGTAAAAATATTCTTGAACATTCTTTTTAATTATATAATGCAATTGATTTTAGGCGATGGAAAAGTAATTCACAGATGGGGTGAAGGTATCAATAAATTACTTTCAAATCCACAAGCAATTAAAGTGAACAATTTATTAACATTTTCTGGTAATGTATTATTTAATAATGTCGCACGGATTGAAGAACGTACTTTGACAAACAATGATAATATTTGTATTAATAATTATCTTGATCATGAACTAAGGTATATACTGTTGTTCTAGTTCTATGATACTTATGTGACTATTACTGTATTTTTCT